AATACATGCATGCACATATATATATATATATATATATAAATACAGGGCACCCGGGGGCGGGGGGGCTTGAAACGACCTGAAGCCGAAGCCGAATTGGTGAAGCTGCATTGCTGTTGGTGACGCCGCATTGTGACGCCGCCTCGTCTGACGCCGGATTGCACAGTGACGCCGAATTGCCCCCTGACGCCGAATTACGGCATGAAGCCGAATTACCCCCTGACGCCGTGCAATGGGGTTCTGTGCACATTTTCAAGTTAGCACGTCTCTTAGCATCTTCCGTGCTGAAGCAAAAATGTGTGTCGGAATGGGGTTCTGTGCACATTTTCAAGTTAGCATGTCTCTTAGCATCTTCCGTGCTTAAGCAAAACGTAAGGCTTAGCAGGAATATGCGCGACTGCGCCTTCAGCTTTACTATAGTATGTGCCGAAAGCCTACTCTGACTCTAATTAAAACAGACCTTCCTTTCAGAAAACTGTCTAATTACCTGGGCTCCTTCGGCTCTAGAAATACTGGAGTCTCCAGGATTTAGGAGCCGCTGTGTCGTAAGCGTTGGGCCGAACACATAGACATCGCACAAACCTGACTGTGGAACGCTAGCCCGGCAAACTTCCAAACCCCAAAACCCCAAGCTTTCAACCCTTGCAGAACACTCCTTGCACCCATCTGGAACCCTTCAATAACCAAATTTTCAAAGATGGACTTTACACAGCCTGGTACCTGACGCCGAATTGTGAAGCCGAATTGCCCCGTGACGCCGAATTACCCCCTGACGCCGAATTGTGACATCGGTAGATTTTGCCGCATAATGTCCCACAAGCAAACACACAAGCCAAGTCGTGCCAGAAACAGCAACTTGCAGCGATAACGCAGATTCCGCGCAAATGCTTCTTTGTCTATACTGCTACTACACAATCAGCGTTGCCCGGCAGACCAACCCTCGACGGTGAAAGTTACTGGTTTGCCACTGTACACGCCTATGTACAAAACCCAAGAACGCTGGAAGGCAAGAAGTCATTCTAACCGAGATGACATGACAAGAACCCTTTCTGCGGCGGTTCGCTCCGTAGCTAAGGCCCCTGACAAAGTAATACTTTCGTGTGTAGCTTCGGAAGCAAAGTCAGGGAGCCGATGTGATGAACACCGAAGGTGCAGTTTCTACTGGAAGCCTCGTTAGCCCTGGAAGCTGGGGTATAAAGAAATATCTGAACTTGCCGCGATGAGATAAGTTTGCTCTGCGAAACAGCCGAGCGCATGACCCCCCAAGAGCTTGAGCCGGGGGCAGCATCCGGGTTGCTGCACCAGAGATTATTTTTTTAGCACTCGCACTCGACAGGCAGGCGAGGATCTCGGTTGAGAGTCCGTAGTGTGCACATTGTCCCTGCACATTAGCCGTGATACTAGTCTCATCAAAGTTCGCAGTCCATCTATCTTTACACGTTGAGCCTGCTCACATCCAGCATCATGGTCTCATGATCCCTCCGAGCAAAGCGCGCCCATGCAGCTTACCAGATTGCTCTCCGCAGACAAGGATTGCCGATCTCACCAGAGATTATAAATTACACCGGTTACTGTAACCTGTTCTCCGAGTTTGAAGCAAGCCTCTCAGTCCGTGGAAGCCCTAGCGGAGCACCCCTTAGGGGAGCGCCCCTTCTGGGAATCTCCGAGAGGACAGGTGGGTAAGTAGATATTCTCCACGCGGCTTGGGGATTCGCAAAGCGTCTTCGCGTCCTATAATTCGACTTCGCAAAGCGTCTTCGCGTACTAATTCGGCTTCGCAAAGCGTCTTCGCGTACTAATTCGGCTTCGCAAAGCGTCTTCGCGTACTAATTCGGCTTCGCAAAGCGTCTTCGCGTACTAATTCGGCTTCGCAAAGCGTCTTCGCGTACTAATTCGGCTTCGCGTCCCAATGCGTCTTCGCCCAATGCGGCTTCGCAATGCGTCTTCGCCTCCTAATTCGGCTTCGCCTACTGGGCCCTTTAAGTAGCAATTCGGCTTCGCAAAGCGTCTTCGGCTTCAGGTCGTTTCAAGCCCCCCCCCCTCCGGCTGCAATGTATATATATATATATATATATGTGTGTGTACACATACATATATATATATATACATAGAATGCACGCGTGCGTGTATATGCATATATGTACATGAAAACACTGACAGATGGATGTTAATTCAATATACTGCAGAAAATTCAGTTTAAAGTATGGATATACAACCGAAAGTACAAAATGTACAACTTCAAACATACGACACATAACACTAGTGAGCGCTCGCATAGTAAACACAGAAGACTGTATAATGAAGAATCATACAATATAGTATAGTCCTGCATAATACACTGCAGAAAAGACAGTACAGTATGATGAAGATACGGTAAATAAAGAATATACTACGATGCTATAGAATACAATTTACTAAACAATAATGCAATGTGTGTATACATATACACATAAACTATCAAGTTGTGTGTCTGTGTGCCTGTCTGTATGCATATATATATATATATATATATATACATAAATAAATAAATATATCCACCCACATACTTTGCACTCGAAAAGATACACAGCGAACTACAGTTGACAGCAAAGCACGGAAATACAAACTCTATACATATATATATATATGTACATATATCTACATCTACATATGTATGTATGTAGGTAGGTAGGTATGTACATGCTACCACGTAAAAATTCTATTCAAGTTAAAACAGTGGAGACTATATAGCAATGTTCTTCCAGCGAGTGCAGTGAGCTCCCAACAGAACCTGGCACTTTGAGTAGTGAACAAACATTTTCTAAAATGTACACTATGTAATGCAGTATAATGTAGCAAGCAACACAAACAGTGGATCAATCCACTGAAAAATGATTCAGTATGAAAGCGTACAGTAGACCGTGTAACAGATAATCTGATATGTTACAATATGTACTAGAATAGGTTTTTGTAGCAAGGACCTCCAAGGAGATGTGACATCCTTGCCTCGGCTCGGCTGATGTGGATCTACTGAGATGTCCTGGTCTGGCTGGAGAGCAAGGGGGTTGGGCCAAGGGCATACGGGAAGCTGTTTAGGGTTTAGGGCTACTTCGCAAAGCTGTGCTTCACCTGCCTGCAGAGCCGGCAGACGGGCTGACATCTCCATCTCCTGCAGCAAGAATGTTTGCAGAAAGGGGTGAACCTACTCAAACGGCAAGACAGGCTGGGGTCTCAGTCGGGGTTTCTCGAAAAATACATCTGGCGGCCTGCTTCGGCCGTCTCCGCAGTCTCTTCCCTGTGGAAGGCCGGCGGACCACCGGTGCCGGCCTGGACGGGCAAAGAGGGAGGCGACCCCCACCCCGACTCTTCTGGCCTCAGCAAGCCGCCAGAGGCGGGAAGCCGGAGACGCAGGGACAGAGCCGCTCCCTGCGGATTCTTCCAGAATCTACAGCAAGAGCAGCTGGCATACACGAAGAGTCGGAATAGTCACTCATGGCCCCGTCTTCGGCCTGTTGCCGAAGCCACCGGGACCTGCGGCGCATTTTCTGGCTCTTCGCACAGACACTGAGTGCAAGGCATCAAAGTGATCAAAAGCAGTCGGCCTCGGCACTGCCAGGTGTACCCGAGCAGGGCGACCAGTTGCCTTGTGAAGTGCGGTAGGCTTTCATCTCTGCAACCGGTCCGTTCGATTTCAACAATGCGTCTGTGAAGATCTCATGAGGACATCTGCCCTCCAGCCTGATCCGCTTGCTGCAAATGATGGCACGCCCTTGGCATCAGGCGGAGGAAGCTGGCTTAAAGAATGAACCCTAAACCCCTAAACCCTAAACCCCTAAACCCCTAAACCCTAAACCCCTAAACCCTGAAGCGCACACCTTGCGAGATCGGAGAGAACCCTCGTCGCTAGTCTAAGCGCGCAGCAGGCAGTTGAACTGCATCTTGGGCCTCCGAACTCACCCGCTTGAAGCTCCCACCATCGAAAAAATCGAGGATGCTGGGTTTAGGGGCTTAGGGTTTAGGGGCTTAGGGCTGTTTGTTTTAATTGTGTGATGGCCAGGATCGAGTCCCTCGTCTGGGGTTTAGGGTTTAGGGTTTAGGGTTTCGGGCTTAGGGTTTAGGGTTTCGGGTTTAGGGTTTAGGGTTGAGGGCAGGAATAAATTCGGGACAACACAGCTTCCCACGATATCGCAATCTGCAGCTAAAGGCACCTCTCGTCTCACCTTTGCCAACTCCGCATGCCCAGACATCTCCAGGGCCTCCACACAAGAAACACTCCTACTCCTACTCCTACTCCTACTACTACTACTACTACTACTACTACTACTACTACTACTACTACTACTACTACTTCCACTGCTACTAAACAAGCAATAAACAAAGGAAAACTGATAGAAGCACTGAGCATAACAAGAGCAGTAGCATCTAGTAAGTAGGACCTACAGTAGTACCTAGTACCCAGTGACCTAGTACCAGTACTACTACCAGTACCTGTAGTAGTAGTAGTAGTAGTAGTAGTAGTTGTAGTAGTAGTTGTTGTTGTTGTAGTAGTAGTAGCAGTAGTAGCAGTAGTAGTAGTAGTAGTTGTTGTTGTTGTTGTAGCAGTAGTAGTAGTAGTAGCGGTGGAAGTAGTAGTAGTAGTAGTAGTAGTAGTAGTAGTAGTAGTAGTAGTAGTAGTAGTAGTAGTAGTAGTAGTAGTAGTAGTACTAGTAGTAGGAGTAGGAGTAGGAGTAGGAGTAGGAGTAGGAGTAGGAGTAGGAGTATCAGCGAGATACTAAAACCAAAAATACTGAGAGCACTGCCAATGAGGGGCCCTGCCCCCGTCGAGGCATTCAGGCAGCAATGCTGGGACACGCCTGCTTCCACGAGCATCGGTAGTGCTCCATCATTGCCTGCACGGAGTTGAACTCGACATCAAAGAAGCCGGCAAAAGTGGACAGCTTATCAGATGCGTTCGAGGAGATTAGGCAAGAAAAGCGTTCGAGCAATGCACCTACAAAGTCAGCAAGGAGATCTTTTTGGCTGCGTCACTGCACGGGAAACAGCTGTGATAAATCTCTCAGGCACGCCGGCACATCCAATCCCCTTGGCTCGAACTCCTGCGCATGCGTTTTGCCGAAAGCCAAGACGGTTCACAAGCCCTCCTAGTCGCACACCTGCAGCAGAATGCTCGAAAAGCTGAACAGCGAGGTTTGTTGACAAGGCCATCTTGAGCATGCTCCGAACCTCGTAGTCGTCCTGGCCAAGTACCCCTTTGTTCGGCAGAGCTTTGCTGCTGAAGCCTCTCCCGCGAAAAAACAGTCGGACGACTGTCTCATCACCATCAGCTAGCCGACTGCACGCTGCTACCGCAATCGGGATTCGTGCCTTGAGCTTGCCAGAACTTCACCTGCAGAGAACTGGCCCAGGCTGAAACAAGGCAACCTGTTGAATTGGCCTGGTGCTGGATGTGGGTTCCTCCCGCATAGAGCACCAGGATGAGCTGGGACTCCTCTGGCGCCCTGAGGATGGCCTCCGGGCATCTAGGGGCAGGTCTCTCGAACCGTCATGGCACATCTTTTCTGGCTTTGGTTTGGTGACCTTGCTGTTTTCAATGTCGCCGTGTTTCTGGATTTCGGGCGGAGCTCCACCGTCCGGCCTCAGCTGTCCTGAGGACAGCCGCCACATCCACTATGCCTCGGGTCAGGTCTCTTGCCAGCTGGCAATTCTGTAGCACGACTCAACTCACTCACGATAAATCGAACAGCTGAGCTCTGCAAGGCACACAAGAGGAAGGCGTCGATCAGGATCTTTGCAAGCACCCGCTCCCGACGAGTAGATATTCGTTGGTCTGGATCAAACCTCACAAAGATCAGCTTTTGCCCCAAAGCGCACCGCCAGTGTCAGGGGCGGAGCTTCAGAGTCAAGTCATGTGCCCGTAGAACGAAAGACGCAAGTGCTGCCTCTTTAACTCCGCGAAGGCGTCTGCAAAGTTCGGGATCGTGATGTCCTTCAGCCTTGAGGTATGGTGCTCGCTGAAGGAGCTGCTCTCCACTCGTCTGTCGGCTAGGTTTGTTAGGCAGGACGCTTGTGCCGGTGCTTCTTGCTGTTTGGCCTCTTCTCGCTCGGGGCAAAGTCCTGCAAAGCTGGCGAATTCCGGGGTGCCAGAGGCAGGCATGAAAACATGACACGGTCCAGCTTGCGCAACTCGGCAGGGTCACTGGTATCCACATCAGCATAGATGTCCGGGAACACTTCTCGGAGCCAAGCCTTCACAGATCTTCGCACGAGCTTCGGGGGCGATGAGTGAGCACAGGCACACGGTCACACGCATGTCCTCGAAGTAGTCACCGTCTTCGTCAGCGTTCTTCGGGTCGGCCAGCAGCTGCTCTACCTGAAACTGCAACCTGCTCTACCGCTCTACCATCTCCCACTCACCCCTTCCCCGGTCCCGCCGGACCTGCCTGCATGCCGTAAGCAGCTTGAGCTGCCGACGCAAAGGCCTCCCCACCTGCTCGAGAGACTCGCTCGGCCAGCCCGGAGACCCAGGTGCGTGCCGGGCTGGACCTCAGGGTGTCCGTCTGAGCAGGGAACATATATACTTAAAGGATCAAGGGACATAGCAACTAGGGCTATAATTAGGGTAACTATACTTATAACCCCAATTCAGGTACTTATAACCATACTTACTAAGTCCCATGATCCTCCAAGTACAGTCGCTTCAGGAAGCACAGAGTTCTTGCAGAGCCACCCGCAAGCTTTCAAGTAGCAGTCGACCGGCAAGGCCTCCACGAAGCGATCAAAGCCTAGAGCCCTAAAGCCTAAACCCTCGAACCCTAAACCCCCAAACCCCTAGAACCCGAAACCTCAAACTTGAACCCCAGAACCCTAAACCCACAGAAACCTTCACGGCAATCGCTGGTCTCTCACGTGGCCGACGCTGCAAAGTCGTGCCCGGAGACTCCTGGCTTCAGTGTCGGGGGCGGATCTGTAGAAGATTCTATAGGGCTTAGGGGTTTTGGGGTGTAGGGTTTAGGGTTTAGGGGTTTAGGGTCCAGTATGGTACGCTGTTAGGGTTCTAGGGTTGTGGGGGCTTAGGAGTCTAGTATGGTAGGATTTTGGCATGTAACAGTAGATTAATGTCTTAGATGTTCTAGGTCATGATGCGTTATGATTATGGCATACTATATATGGTATACCATCGGAGATTATGGCCTAATATATGGTATACTCTTGATCGGCTTGCCTCATAGGCCAGGGATCGAATGCGCGCCAGGGGCCTCAGTGACACAACGGCATCCAGCGGATTCTGTCGCGTGGGGAGATGGCAGGGCACAGGACCGGGTCTGCTCGTCCAGCTGGAGCTCTTCGCAGGCTTCCTGCACGGGCTGTGTTGCCAGTGCCCTGGGCTGTCTATGCTCTTGGCTTTGGGGACTCTCCTGTACCGTGCCGAAGAAGAGCCGATCGAAGAAGCTCCGCAGCTTCTCCGGGGATTTCACACACCTCACAAGGAAGGGCGCATAGTCGGCCTTCACCTGAAAGGCAGCAGTGAAGCAACACGGGTTGGTCCCCCCGGTCTTGCGCGCATCCGCCCCCACACCTCCGGATGGTAGTAGAGCAGGTCGGCGGCAGCGCCGAAGAAGGACTCGAAGGACGGCAAAGCCGGAGATCTCGTCTCGTCTTCGTCTTCGTCACAGGGACTCTTCTAGCGATGGGCTCTCAGATTCGGTAACGGCCGGCCAACCTCGCTTTGCCTTCGGTGCGGCCTTGCTGAGCTCCACCTGCCAAGCCATTCCGAATCAGTTAAACGGTGTTGCGCTCCCATCGCTGGCCTCCTCTGCATCTTTCGTCAGAGGATCAATGCGCAGCCTCCGGAAGGACTCCCGGAGGTCAAGGTCTTCGCTGCCCTCAGGGGTGCTTCGGACATCTTCTCACTTGTGCGAGCGGCTAGCGGCTAGCGGCAGCCAGCCTCGCCGAGCTCACGCGGATCCATGCAGTGCCTCGTGGCGAGAGAATGAGAGAAGAGAGAAGTCAGCAATGAGATCCTTCAGCCCGGCCACAGTCGTTCTCGAGGAAGGATGCTCTGCAGACGTCGGCGAAGGTAGTCGATGTAGGCATCGCTCCTTGGGCCCCGTGGGACTTGGGCCCCGTCACAGAAAAAAGTGAAGCCAAGCTGCCCTCCGTCGTTCTCGTCCTCGCTGTCTGAGTCTGAATCCAACTCCAGGCGCCGAAGGCTCTGGTGTGCCAACGGAGCAGATGGCACCCCTTCCTGACAAGTTCTGCGAAACTGGCGCTCGCCGAAAAGGGCGGAAGCTGGTTTCTTTTTCCGTGAGTGCATTGTCCGTCTGGATGCAGCGTTCTACTTCATACTGTAGTGTCTGCTTCGACTTTCTCAGGAGGTATTGGTGCCTGATGACTGAACTGTTGGTGGTGCAAGCCACGGCGGTAAGCGAGAAGCTGCCTCGACGTGGAGCTCCACCTCATCAGCTGGGATCGGTGCTTCCAGGACCACTTCGATCGGAATGTCGCACGACCTGAGAGCCCCAAAAGTCCGGTTCCAGGCCTCGTCACGAAATCTGATCAGGTCGAGTCTCTCGATGTGCCGAACCAGCCAATCGTCGAAGATCTCCAAGCCTGTCACCCCGGCACAGCGGAAGAGTTTCCGAAATTAGGGGTACCTTATTTTGGCCTCCCTGTAACAAGGATCCTACTATTTGGGGCACTAGATTAGGGTCCCCTATCATGGGAAACGCCCACTTGGGTAGTTGTCAAAATTATGGTCCCTGTTGGGGTACCCAACATATATAAGGTGCCGTACTCAAATAAGGACCTAAAAAGGGACCCTAATTTTTGACAACCACCCACTTGGGTTTAGGGCCTTTAATAGAACCCTTATAGATCCCTTAAAGAAACCCTTAAAGATCCCTTAAAGGAGCTAAAGGGTCCCCTATTGGGTTTAGGGGTTTTGGGGGCCTTATCCAGCCTTCCGCTCGCCGCTGTGCCTTGCGCCTTGCGAGGAGGGCGTCCAGCTCATCCACGGGCATGTCCTCTATTTAGTAACTATAGGGTTCTTTTTCAAGGGCTCCTTTAAAGGGATCTATAAGGGTTCTATAATAGTTGGGGTTAGGGTTACTTAAGGGATCATCGGACTTAGTAACTAGGGTTATAATTCAGGTAACTATACTTATAACCCCAATTAAGGTAATTATAACCTCACTTACTAAGTCCCATGATCCTCCAAGTAGGCTCAGGCTCAGTCAACCGCTCTGAATCTGAGGCTGTGAGAGGCAAGCAGAGCTTTGCACGTGTTCACCGAGCACGAAGGACGAGCAGGCTAGTGTTGTCACGTTTTCGCCGCTCCTGACCATCTTTCCGGCGACGGCAGAAGTGGCGCGCCTCCTCCCGGATGTGATGAGCTAGGCCGAGGTCTTAAAGCAGAACACGACCGGATCCTCGTCCAGGTCGCCCCATTCGAAGGCCACCTGAGCTCCACAGTCTTGTTCGAGAAGTCTGTCGAGGCAGTCTGAACTCCGCAAAGCTGCGCAGCTCGGCGGAAGGGCGTAGCGAGGATGTCGTTCCGTGCCACGCAGGAAGATGTACGCCGAGCCTTTTCCTTTCTTCTTGCCACCGTCAGCCTGGAAGGGAGAGGGAAGGGGTTTGACCTAGCTTGCGGGCACTAGCAGCACGGAAGATCGTGTTGCGTGCTGCATGCTCGTCAAGCTGATAGGCTGCGAACGATGAAGACGAGAATGGCGCCATCCTTCTCGACCTTGTTCTCTGGAGTCAGGTCGTCCTCTTCTTCAGATTCTGCCTCGCTGTCGCTGTCGTCCTGCACTTTAAAGCTGCTCACTCAAGCATCTGTCGTCAACTGCGGAGCATGTTCGTCTATAGACAAAGAGCCTCCTCGCTTTCTTCAGCTTCGTCCAATGTCTCCTCTGCCCACTGCTTTGCTTTCTCCAAGGTGACGCCTGTCAGGAGGCAGCTTCTTCACTTACAGTTGGCAGTTTGCCATGCACCCATAGCAAAGTCTTACGTGTTCGCAGATGTTCCAATTGCACACGTATCACTGACCAAACACAACAGCAATCGAAACCAAAGTGTTCTTTATTTCCCTCCCCCCGATTGCCTACCTTAGACTTCCAGGCATTCGCGATGTTGAAGCCACTTGCATCAGCGCCGACAAGTTGGATCCAGTCTTCGTACCTGCACATATAGAAAAGCACAGTACACATGCCCCCAAGGCCTCTCCTAAGGTGCGCGCTTGTCAACAATGCCATCCTTCCGAGTGATGTCAATCGCATCCTTCGCAGAAGCTGTGCACCGCTGCACGTCGCGGCTCAGACCCCTAAACCCTAAACCCCAAACCCTAAACCCTCATCAGCAACTCCCACATGCTCCAGACGGCCTCATGGGCCTCGCTGCAACAGATCATGGCGACCTTTCGGCCACGAAGCTGACCTCGCAGCACCTGTTGCTAGAGGAAAGCTAGTAGAGAGCTTTACCTTTGGCAGGTAAGAAGGGCTCATGGACAACCTCGATACCATAGTGGGAGCATGCCTGGATCTTGCTCGGGCCGCATAGCTTGAGTGATTTCACCTGTGCTGCGGTGAGAGGCTTCGTGCTTCGTGCCGAATAGAACCACATCGTGGACCACATCGTCTACCCCCGATGGCATCAACTCGCAACTACATGCGGCGCGGATCCCTGACGCTGTCGTGAACTGACGCAACTGAACTTCAGAGCAAAGTCATTCCAGCCTTTCCCTTCCCGGAGCTTGTGCTCGCTGCGCTTGGACAGCTGCCCACGTCGGCAGCACCTGAATCAAAGACAAAGTCGTTTCACTCAAAGGAACTCCATGAGCTCGCGCAAGCGCACACAGGCACGCATGCTCATACACCGCTGCACCACCGTTCCGAATGCATGCTTAATGTACGGACCCTTCAGCTATCCAACTAGTAATTGGCACACATCCGCTGCTGTAAGCTCAAACAGCTTGCAGGTCTGTCGCCCAACCTCCCGCCTGCCATCAGTGGCTCGGCTGCGCCCCCAGTCCGGGAACGGGAAGGGCACAGGCCCATGCAGTCCCACTTGGCCCCAGAACTACGGCTGAGCCGAGCTGGCCTAGATACTCCGCACAGAGGCGAGAGGCTAAAACGATTCGGTGTTGACCTCTCTAACCTGTGTCTTTTGTGACTTTTCGTGCTCAAACAGCTGCGGCACACGAGGTACTGTCGAGGTTGGCAGGCACAGAAAATCAAATGGCTATGTCATCCACCGAGTAGCTGCAAACACAACGTTTGCTTGCTAAATACCTGAACGAGAAGCGCTGCACCTTGCACGCTTGCCCCCCTCCCTGAGCCCGAAACCCGCAAACCCGAAACTCTGAACCCTGCACCCTCAACTCAAATAATCCGAAACCCCCGAAAAACCCCTTAATCCGAAACCCTGAACCCAAAAGCCTCAACCTTGAACCCTACTATAAGCCTCTTCCCGGGCAACGCTGGAATTTCCGGAAGGCCACTCCCATTCGCCTGCGCCTCACCAAGCTGCCTTTCGACAATGGCGCGGCCCTCGGGTGCCCAAGATCACCAAGACTCCTACAATATCGATAAAGATAATAACAATATTAATTGCCATAACAAGAATCACAACGGTAATAGTAATAACAGTCATGGTAATTACAATAACAAGAATAATACAACCAATACTAACACACTAACGCAATGATACGCCTCTACAGTACTACACTACTACACTAATACTCGATAATGAGACTCGAATAGCCGAATACTCTCATACTCTAACACTCTAACTCTCCAACACGCTAGCCGATGCTCGAGTAGCCTAGTGCTCTAATACTCTAATGCTCGTACTGATACTAACACAAATAATCGTAATAATACTGGCATACAGATGAATACAATGCAATGTAATACAATACAATACAAAATGTAATAGAATATGATGAAACATGAAACAACACATAATATTATACTCTACTACAATACAAAGAAGTACTACATGATGTTGTACTTCTTTGTATCGTAGTAGAGTATAATAGAATGTGCTGTTTCGTGTTCTATCATAGTCTATTAGATTTTGTATTTCATGTAATGTCATGTAAAGAATGTTATAACGTGTACTATACCGTAACATACTGTAATAAAATGTGGTGTCATTAAACCGATATGATATAATGTAATATAGTAGTCTTAATTTTCAACAAATGTGTTATCACCTAACATTGTATCATAAGATATGTTAGTTTCTACCATGTAATATAATATCACATGATGTATTTGAATACACGCTGATACAATGTAGTGTATATACTAATATGTCTAACAACAAGAATATAACATAATAACATATGTGCCAAAACATAATATCATGCAATGAAACATATCGTTAGATAGCACAGCATAAGATAATAAAACAGGTACTCATTATGATAAGATAGGAACAGCAATAGAAATTAATAGCAAGCAACAGTACTAGCATCAGCAACAGCAATAGCAAGAGTATGGGACTTTCAAAAGCAATACGACCAAGAAAACTAATTCAGAAAATGCTCATAACTAAAGACCACAACGACGATAATAATTAGCCATACCAACTACCAATAACAGAAACAATAACAACACTCAGATTAATCACAACAATAACAATAGCAATGGCAATAACAAAAATAATAACCAAAAGAAATGACAATAACAATACCAATGATCATAAAACAAGTCGTCATGCTCGTCATCCTGATAGTCCTCGAAGCTATCGTGATTGTAAATATAACAGCAATATCGGTGCTAGTTTGTAACTTTATAATAATGACAATGACAAGTGACAATGCTGATACTGCCTAGCACTGATAGAAACCCTCATACTAGTGCTCACACCAATGCCAATACAGATACTCATGTAGTAGTACTAGTAATCATAGTAGTACTAGCAATTGTAATGGCAACAGCAACCGCAATCGCAGTAGTAACATTAACAACGATCGCAATGATACTGACAGCAATGACAATTACAATCATAACCATAGCAATACTTTGGAATCACAGGAAAACCCCAAGGGCAAGACATGTCTGAGGCCAAGGGGCAGAGCGCGCACGGAGGAGTTCTAGCTCCAGTCGTCGGACTTCATCCTCGCAGACACCACGACCGGAGACTCGAGACATCAAAGCTAAGTACCATTATTATTCCCTTGGGTATCGTCCGAAAGCTGCTTGTATGAGATACCCCAAAAACCCTGCTGTAAATATGAAGGCCCCTACATTCCTGACGGCAGCCAGGGCAATTAAATCACAGAATCTATTGCCAAACGGAGACGATGATGCTGACAGCAGCAGAACCCTAGAAGCAGCCCTGGCCTGCAACTCCATGACTACATCCTCTCTGTGGGAGACGGGCAGCGCAGGCTTTGTTCGAACCTCACGAGAGAGGTCATATGGGAGGTTCTGAAATTAGGGGCACCTTATTTCGGGGTCGTTGAAATAGGGATCCCACCATTTCGGGTACTATATTAATTAGGGTCCTCTATTCGCGGAAACTCCCAAATCTGAGTCAAGCTGTGACAGAGGTCGAACTGATAGACCTCCGACTTCAGTTTCGCTTGGCGTGGCATGAAATATGGCAAGTCGCCTGCTTGACCGACTCGCAGAATCTCAGCGTAGCCAAAGAGTCCTGAGAGCCGTTCGCAGACATCGGAACTAAAATTGCCGTGAATTGTCGTCGGGCACAGCTCACATCTCCTCAAAGGAGATCTGCGCAGGCGAGATAGTCCCGACCACGGCAGTGTGCGAATTCCTGAGAACGCGATGCCAGTTGCGTTCGAAAAATCACACAGTTGAAGCTCGCTCAATGTCTCAGCTTCTCTTCATGTCGGGTCGGCTTGCGAACGTGCACATAGAGTCATGCCGCATGCCGTCATGATCTCTTGCTGGGAGTTTCTCGAGATCAGGGTTAGGGCTGCCACCCGGCCAAGGCATGCCCCAAGACCATCGTCAGCTTGGAGTTCCTGCGAAGCTGTGTGGAGCTCGACTCTCGATGTACTCCCATTTTTCAAGCAAGTTGAAAACTCCAACTCCCGGCGCGTTGTTACTGACTGAGGCGTCCTGAAATGATGCCATTGAGCACTGTCTTTGCCTCAGGAAGCATTTCTCGCTCTTGCTGCTCTCTGAACTTCAGGTCCAGGTGCTCTGGTGGCACAGGGTCCCTTTGCATACGAAGCGGCCGTGTTGCTGCGCGCTGTTGGCAGTTCCGGCACCAACCTCTTCACAAACACACTCCTGCTGGCTACACAGTAAATGTGCTACCAGAGTCACCAGAGTCTCGATACTGGGAAAACGCCGACGATCAGCAGCGCATAACTAGCACAGGCTCTACAAGCTGGCCTGAGATGCCGCCAGTTCCCGGACGCAGTGGGCCTCGAGCAGGGTGCATTCAACTGTTCAGCAGCCGGCCGCCGATTCCAACTGCAGCCACGAGCTTTGCACAAACAGATGCCAAGATGCCAAATGGAACAGTGACCGGTTGATCAGCGTCAACTCCTGACAAACGCTGCAACTGCTACAAGAGGATCTCACGTCATTCCTGACGCTATAGGTGCCTTGAACCGCTCTGTGCGACACATGGATAGCCGTTCCTGACATCTCGTGATATTGGACTTTTCAGCTTCAACACTTCGTGATGTGACCTTTTCTGAGCAGAGCGCCTGCTCACGGCCAGCCAAGTCCACCAGCATGATACTGGCGAGAGTCGATAGGGGGTACACAGTCTATGTGATGCAACCTCGTTCTACCTCTGGTTTTGAATGGCACAGTGATTCCTGTTCCAATGTTTGAAGAATCCCCAGCCGTCTTGCTGATCCCAACCTGTTGCTGGATGTAGACCGCTCCATTCGCAGAGAAAAAATTGCATGTGACCTTGGATGCCACATGCCGACTACACAAGACACCGGACTTGGGTAGGGGGTAGGGGGGGAAGAGGCAGGGCAGGGGTGTGGGTTTCACCTCCAGGTCATCTTGGCTCCGGCCACGGAATTCTTGTCAAGTCACCGAGACGAACGATCGTTCAGCATGGTGGCGGCAGTTGTTCTGACCTGCGCACAGCTTGCATGACAGATATGAATCGCACCCAAAAATGAAGTGCTTTGCAGCTCTCACATCACTGCATGGCTCGTCTCGCCTGCAACCCGAAGCTGACGAGACGAAGCGCCTGGCAGATCTAAGCACATGCCTTCAGCAAGCACATCGAACAGAAGCACGCCAAACGTAAACGGCTGGGTCACTGCGGACTTTGCTCAAATAACTTCGGCGCCTCTTGCACGTCGTCGCACGGTACTTCCTCGACCTCAGGAGTCTGCCGATTTGTTGAAGTTGGTTGTCTAAGACGAGTTACAAGCATGATATTGGACTCCACTTGGTTCGTCCTGAGTGCTGGACACCCGCCACGAAAGCACCGAAACGAGGATGAAAATGCACCTCAAATTTCGGTGTGCAGCGCCACAACCTGGCTACCTACAGTGCCAATAGTCCCGCAACCCAGTCACTAGTTGTGGTACCGCACCAAGCTTGTACTTGCAGGCAATACAAATACTCGACCATGGCTGTAGAACGCCATCAACAAACCTCATAGAGAGCGTCTGAGTCTGTTGCTGTTGTCTTGCCATGCACGCGACCGTTTCGCGGCCTGAGCATCCCAAGAAAGAGTCTGTGCCCAGAAGCTCAGCTATCATCGACAACTCAAGACTTCAAACGAAGATATATCGCCAGGGGTATGTTCAGTAGCACATGACAAGCAGTTCCGGCAAGGCTTTCAGATTTCAGAGCCCTTCTTTCTCTCGAACGCTCCTACAGTAGGCTCTTGGGAGTGGGCTGTCCGCCGCTGCCGCCATCCTCGCACACACACACACAAACATGCACCCACATAATCCCACATAGAGACTGGCTGAGGGTTTTTAGGGCTTAGAGCTTTGTTATTTACGGGCCTTTTTGGTGTCTCAACCCCTCGCTCCGGGCCTAAACCCCTCGCTCCGGGCCCTGTCCGGATGGACTTCCAGGAACATCTGAATAGACCAGCTGACCTCTCTTCCTTCTTTCACTAGGCCCAAGGGAGCTATGGGGACACTTGGCCCGTCTGTTTTAGAAGAGAGCGGGCTCTGGAGCTATTTCGGAGTGCAGCTCCGTCCGCAGACTCGAATTCTTTGTGAACGGATACCTTCGCTCGTGAAACAAGGTGGTCACGCCCCCCTCAACAACTTCCCGCTTAGCCTACAGACGTCATGAACCGCAGAAGCAAGTCCCAGCGGCTGGCCTATGCCACGCCGACCTTACTCTGTCTCCTCTCTCCGTCGCTCGATCTCTCTCTTCTTCCTCAGGGCCTGAGGGACTGCTTAGGTCCCCGGGCCTCCAGGGCCCTCTATACTTTCTGGGCTTTGGGAGAACGTGATAAGTTTATTGAGTCTTCTCGATGGTACGATCCCGTCTGAGCTTCAACGATGCGATCACAGCCGAGGACTCAATAAGACAAGGACACATGCAGCTTCGAAGCAGCCTCACTATCCAAGTATACTCCAGCTTGCCGTGCTCCCTGCTTCCCTCCCTTTGCTTTGCTTGGGGCTTGGGGCGGGAGCAGTCCTCCCGTCCCGCGCGGGTGCGCTGCCCCATCCATTCTTTTGAGTGAATGGGCTCGGTTTTTACAGGCACGTGTGCCTCCCTGTTGAAGGCGTGTTCCTCTTGAGTGGCGTTGAGGCCCACCGACTTTGCCACCAATCAAGAAGGTTAAAGGAAGAATGCTCGAAAACAAAAGCGTGTGCACGAGGGCTTGCAAAAACCATGCTGTAATTAACGGCCCCACAAGCCGCGTCCTTGCTGCGGGCACTCCACTTTGAGGTTCGCGAAAGGTTTGTGGCGTGTGCCCCCCGCACTCTAATTAGTTCAAGAGGTAAGGTGCAGCGGTATGGTGCACTTCTTTTTTGTTTGAAGCGCCTGCTTGTATTGTACACTGATTGCCGGGTATCCCGGCGGCATTACAAAAACTAAGGCGTCGAGAAACAGAAAACTACACTGCCTCACTGCTCCTCTGGTGTCACTGCCGTCGTGCTTTGTCCATTCGGATGGCCGTAAAGGGGTGCTGGCTTGTGCACTCGGGGGATGGTGTCCCCTTCTCTCCATCGTACAAGTAGGGTGTGGTTCTGACTCTTGGCGTTCCTGCCATTTGCTCAGTCATCCGCGCGTTCTTGTCCCCCTCCCATTCAGCGGGTAGTTTTGCGTCTGCACTGGGTCGGCGAGGGAGGGTGCTCGTAAGTCGTCTTCTCCTGGTGCACGGCTGGCTTGTCCACGTAGTTCTCGAGGGGCCAGGTTCAAGGAAGGTTTTGCTCAAAGCAGTCCCTCTCTCCCGCTCTCGCTCGCTCGCTCGCTGCTGGGGCAAGGTCCGCAAGGACCTGGGCCCAGGCCCCCCCTTTCCTTCCTTGTTTGTGGAAGAGGGGCATTGGGTCAGTGACGAGAGTAGTTTCCCCCCGGTGGATTGTGTGACATGTGGAGATCGCCTGGTGAGGATCCCCCCAGACCCTGACCTCATCCCCGCGCCCACTGAGGCTGTGAAGGCCCCCCGGCCACATGGGCCCCCCATGTGTTATGGGGTTTTTGGCGGGGCGTGAAAAGACGAGTGAGATCCCCCTGAAAAAAAACGAGGTAATGTATTGGACTGTGAACCTTCAGGGTGTCTCAACAAGCTACACACACGTGCATAGGGATCAACAGTTCTGGTCCCCCGTCACTTGGCAACAGTTGTACAACAACGCCATATAATATGATTCGTCCTACACACTGAATAAAAGTGACTGGGTGCCACAGTGACCGCTCCACGGTCACAAAGGTCGGCTTACATCGTCACGTTTTCAACACTATCTCTCTCTCTGTCTCTCTCTCTCTCTCTCTTTCTTTCGCCAGGGTTAAGGTGTAGAGCTCTCTCTCTCTCTCTCTCTCCCCCTGTGTTGCGAGCGGCATATTCTCAAAGTGGGATGGTTTGTGGTCCTGCCAAGCAGGTGCTTCCTTCGGTGTCGCAGGTGCAAGGAGATCTCGGATCCGCTCGTTGTGGATCTGCAGGCGGCACACTTGCACAGATCTGGCACCAAAGGTTCGCGTGGGCTTTGCGATGGCAGACAGGGGAGCCTCGTAGAAAGAGGCAACACAAACTGTATCAGGCTCCTGAGCCACGCTCCAGTCTGAGACTATGCGCTGGGCATGCCGCAGAACCGCAAACCTACGGCGGAGTACGCCGGGGAGAATCATCCAACGCATGCTTTCCTCGCTCAGCGCGTGGAAGATGGCTTCCAGGGTTCGTGGAACCAGGCCGGAGCCAAAGCCCACCTGAGAAGAGGGGACATCTGATCGCCGAGCCGAAAACACCGGCTGAAGGGACCACGGCTTTGGCAGCCAGTCTCTCCGGCTGAAGTCCAAGGGGCATCCATGTCAAAGCTGCTGTCTGTGGGACCCTCCAAACAAACATTTGAGTGAGAGAGCAGTAGCCAAAGCGGAGCCATGCCGCGGCCCAGGCCCCGGCCCCGGCCTTCTCAAGCGGCGAGGCACTGACCTTCTCCCGAACAGAAGTGCGAGGCGTGCCTCAGATGCCGCAGTCCTACGCAGAGCGCTCTCTGGCATCGCATGCCCTCCAGGTCAGAGACCAGTTCCTTTGACTGGCTTGGCATCCTCGGCTGCCCAACTACTTGTAGACTGGGGCATCCTACGGCTCCGTGGCACGGAACATCTACGAAAGAGAGCCATCATTCACAAAAGCAAGCCCTGCAATGTCTCCGCAACCTGTTCTTGAGCAAGTCTCGCATTGGAGCGGAGACAGGTCATCTGGCTCCAGGTCCCTGGTGAACCTCAGCCCGCGCTCTCTCTTAGAAACATGAAGGTCTTCTGCCTTTTCGGCCGTACTACTAATACAGATATATGTGTGTGTGTATATATATATATATATATACAATGGAGATTCTGCTTGCTCTACTAAAACATTAAACTTCGGAGAGCAGAGGCCCCTGCTCAGAGCCCATCACGGTGTAGGTCTTGCCAGACCCTCCAGTGAGCAACCGTTTCAAGAAATCCCATTACACACCGGCACATCGGAAAACGCCGATTGAAGACTTGGAAGACTCAGACGGATCACTTCGATTCACGTGGGGGAAGGCCTGTGTGGCCATACGCCAACATGCAGGCATTGTAGCCTGGCAGGCGAGCAACGCACATCGATGGAAGCCAAATCGTAGCATGAACACGGCACGTTGACCAATATGCTCGAGGACGCCTTCGACAGCTTTTCGCACAATCTCTGCTCCAACAGCCTTGTATGCGGCAAGGTGCAACACGGCATGGCCACAGCAACTGCATGTATTGCTGTGCATCTGAAGATGTTCTTGGGGCCTCGTAGACGGCCTCTTGCGAGCCATCCATCCGGAAGCTATCCCTGGCATGGCATCGCTGGCTCGTCTCCAATTAGCAGAATGATTAGAGGACAGCACCTGAACCCAAGTTTCTATATGCTCTTTCGCACGGTCGCTGCAAAGAAGCACCCAGGGGCCTAGAAGTTGTGCTGCTGCCTGGGAAGCAGTGTGTGGTTCATCGTGACTCCATGCCATAACTGAGGCTGTTCATCAAGATACCATCCCCTTGGCAGCATGAGAGGCTGACCTGTTTGCCCACCGCTGCTCCTCCAGGCAGAAGGTACAAGCAGCACATGGGCTCCGATTAGAAAGTGACACCACGAAGTTGAAGGTCGACACACCCTGGCACTGGCACCTTTCCATCGGCGGCCGGCTGTCAAGGATCGAATCTACTATGAAGCATTTCTCCTGCACGGGTGGCGACGGACTCCACACACAGTGTCATTGCTTGCTAGAGACCCCCCCCTTCACCGCTCACTGTCATGGTAGACTTCTTCATTCCCTTCGGGGCACTATGGTTTGGACTCGGCTGCAGAGCTCCTGGCCACGATCCAAGCCAGTCAAGACAATCTTGCTCTGCGACGGATAGCTGCGAACGCCCTGGCGCTGTCCCGCCTGAAGCACCGCAGAAAAAGCGGGGTCACCAGAGTTTCATGCTAACCTGCGCACCTCGCGCGCCAGGAGCGGCCTGATGCGCACCGCAACGCGGACGCCGGTGGGCACCGCCATGCGTCCCTCGATGCTGCATTCTAGCAACTGCAGGTTCTGCGGCACAACTGCACAGCCAAAAAGAAAGCCTCGCAAGAGCTGCCACTGCAGGTGGTCACAGAGGAAAGGGCCCCTGCACAAAACCGGATCTTTAGTCTTTTCTTGTGCAGCGGCAACACGCACGGCTTCCTCTGGCCTTGCCTGAGACGTTTGCAGATGGGACCTTTGGGCGGAGCAGATGGAGGGTTACAGCATACTGGTTCATACATGCAGCCTGTTCCGATGTAAACTGAGTCAAGCACGCTCCGCGGCGTGGGCGTCTTAGCCAATTAGAATTAGAAGTGGAGCAGGTATACTGCGAAGATGCTTTTGGGCTTTTGGGCTGCGGCACCCCGACAGTAGTCTCTTGAGAAGCAGGAATTACAACCCGTTGCCTCAGAACATCTAGGTTGCCGACTTTGCACCATCTGGCTGAAAGAGTGCCTGCAAGGTATGCTGCTCCGGTCCGCTTTCTAAGCCCTCAATGCCGACTAGCGTGCAAAGGTGCAGAAAGGCAGGAGCAGTACAGAATGCTTGGGCCATGGTGCCTCTCTATGAGTCTTGGCTAACAATCCCTCGTGCTCCGCAGACCTGGCGAGGCTGCCGGCATTGCTGCCTTCAAGCAGCTTTAGCTGGCCATCAGAGGCTCTCTATGCTCTACTTGCACCAACGGGATGTGAGCTGTCTGCTGCCGCGCATGGGCACCAAATAGGTTCTGCGCCCATGCACCCGAAACAGCTCTGACGATGTTTGTTGAATCCTCCTCCTGTGGAAAACGTACAGGTTGGGTAGGCGCTGTGACAGACTCCAGCTGTTGGCATTGTAACTGCTGCCGTAGAGCCATAATGCTTCGAATGGATGTTTCTGGGTATTGATCCACAAGAATACGCTGCAGATACCGCATGACTTGCTGATCTGGTTCATAACTTAGAAATTAGAAACGTACCCTAATTCCTAAACCCCCAAACCCTAAACCCTAAACCCTAAACCCCTAAACCCTAAACCCCTAAACCCTAAACCCTAAACCCTAAACCCTAAACCCCTAAACCCTAAACCCCTGAACCCTAAACCCTAAACCCCTAAACCCTAAACCCGAAACCCGAAGTCCTATTGCGCAACTTACTGGCTCTTGCCAGACTGGCCTCACACTTCCTGAATGGAATATTGACTTTCCGAAAATAGGGGACCCTAATATAGTACCCTAAATAGCAGGATCCTTATTATAAGGACCCCAAGATAAGGTATCCCCAATTTCCGGAAACTCCCAATATCGGGCGAAGCTTCCTCCATACCTCGGAGTTAAAGTAGCTTTCACAGCCAGGATGGTCCGTGCCCAGAAAACAAACCACGGCCTTTAAAGAAAGTAACTGGCCGGAAATCAACATGAACACCAGCGAACCCTAGAAAACGTCTTGAAAAAATCGACACCGGTTTCAGCACGAAGCTCAACAACTACTCAGAGTGTGCTGCGGGCAGCTCTAGAGTGGTCCAGAAGAAATCAGCAGTCACGAGTCCGTGCAGTCAGCGTGAAACAGGAGATTCAAATCGCCATAGCGGCAGAAACGCGCATTTTCTTGTTACCTGGCTGTTGTCTGCATGGCGCTCTGCAGATAAATCGATCACTCGGTGGAAGTCGCACACGACCAGAAATGCCTCCCAGCGTTCAAGAGCTCCACTCGAAGCTCTGAGGCAGAAAAGCCTATTCTAACTACCAAGGCCCCTATTTTATATAGTACCCTTATAGAGTTAGCATATACCATTTCCATTTTCCATGCCCCACCCCCTAGCACCCAAACCATAACAACCTATGCCTCAACCTTCAACCCACCCAAGACCCATAGGTAAACCCCAGGAAAGACCCACCTGAAGACCCAAAACCATAACAACCTTTACCTCAACCCTAACCTCACCAAAAAACCCAACCTAAGACCCACATAATGGAACCACTAACAGACCCATACACCACCACATAGAAAAACCCCAACCCAAACTCCAGACACCCACACCCCCATAGAAAAACCCGATAGCATCAACCCGAAATCCCGAACCCTTAAAAACGGAAATGGTAATCTCTAATAAAACATTGATAATAGGAATAAGGTTTAGGGAAAAGGTAGGAATGCGAAACAAAAATATTTCTATTTCAACAAATAATATTTTTATTGGTTTATGATTTAGGCTTGACTAGTTCGTTGTAGTCTTCTTCAATGTCCTGAATACTTTTATTCAACCACTTAACTCCGTTCTTCGGTTTCCCATCTAAATATCTAGCGTCTCCTCTTCCCGCATTCTGACAAAGTATTTCAAACATGTGTTCAACTAGATCCGAATATTAAACCTTTATCTTCTGAAATTTTACCTTCTAAAAGAGACATATCGCGCTTAACATTCAAGACATCTTCTTGATCAAAAACACTTTCATAAACTTTAAGCAACTTACATAACTCCTTATTTTTAAATGATCTTTTTCAATTAGTTTCATTTCATATACCGTCTTGATATACTTCGCTTGTATTTTATATGTATTTACGTGTGTATAACCCGGTTTCCGCTGAATACATATAGTCATATAGTTGTCATGTCTTCAGATGCTTTTTCTTTAGAAACTACCTTCTTTGACCGAAACAATACTCTAATGGTTTGAATTCTTGAATTAAATCATTAAAACATTGCGTAGGGACTACAAGGGTTTTCTTCTCCTTCTTCCAAAACCACGAAACACACTAACCAGACCGCTACCACATTCTGTTGATGCTTGAAAGCAAACGGGGCACTGGCATGGGGGCACTGTCATAACACAATAAAGATACACCTTTAGGTTATGTCAGTAATTCTTCTAACTGATAAAACTCAAACAACAATTATGTTGGAGCCCTAAGAAATATCTCAATGTATATTTATGAACTTGGTGATAATATCAAAAATTCGTTGTATATAAGAAGGCAAAACTAGATTTTGAATTTGACACTGAAAACAACTTATTGAACATTACTACACCAGAAAACTTGCCTAAAAATATGTTGATAAGTATGAAACCCAAGGCATAACACACAAGGAAATCATGTGTTTTGAAGGAGATGATAAATGTATTTCTCGTTTGAGAACGTATAGAACAACAACAGGTGGTAATATTAATGATTGGACATATTCTATGACTAATGGTTCTGAACATAAGTATAATTTTTTTTCTTATGACTTTGCTTGATTTTGTTGTAAAGTTGCTTCATTGGGATGACTTGTTACACCCACTGCATTATCCTCGCCGACTCTAAATGTTCCTTGTGCTTTAAAATTATGAAATCCATGTGCTTCTATAGGATTACTAGTTCCTGTATCTATCTTAATGGCATCTCCATCCAAAGCACTAACCACATCTCCCCTTTTTGAAAATCTTAAGTGTTGTGGGTTTTTTACCACCACGATTACCAAACGCTATAAAAGGGACGCTACAGATAGCTGTTGTATACTTTTGATTGTTACGACGGTTTATTTCCTGAAGAACTGACGAACCAAGGGAATGGCCAACAAGACGCGTAACATCTGAGTTTTTCTCTAATTCATTCATAGCATCTCTATATTTATCTGAAAACCGTGAAATATGTGAAGGTATTAAAATATGTCACTAAAGACATTAGCACCAGTGCCACTTTTACCAACAGTCCCAGAAATATATAATGTATTGCCCGACCTGAAGAAGCCAGCATCATTAGTGTATGCGGTTGTCAATCCTTCTACATCATCAATGTAATTTTTATTTTCAGCATTAACAACTTCTCTATATTGGGGGTTTTGTAGTCCTTGCCTGCTGTTAAAGTGAGCATTAAAATCGTCTGCCCTTGACATTAACTCTTTCTTCTCCTTGTCATTATTATCCAACTGTTTTTGAATAAATTCTCTTGCTGGGTTAAACTGAATGTTGTTCCTTGCTCTCCTCTGTAATGATTGTACAAAGTCGTCGGCTTGATTTATTCTACCCGTTCGCGCTAAACTTTGTAAAACTTCGGCCACTCTTATTCCTGCCATTAATATAATTTAGTGTATAAAAACTCTCAATATATTAATAATGTTAAGCAAGCGTACCTTAACGTATAATAAAGTTTATGTTGATAGTCAAAGGCGAATAGCTGAAAGCGAAAGCAGTAGCGACTTTAAAATTCAAATGAACGAAGACTTAGAAGCGTACCCAAATACCGTTATGTATGTAATGGACGAAGTTATACCCCGATCTTATTATACAACCCCTGAAGGCTTTTATCAGTTTATGTATGTTATAGTTTATAACAGAAGCGATGGTAGTGTTCAAGCATATTTAAAAATTGATTTGGAAAACCAAGTCTTCTTCGCATCTCAGTTCGTAGGTAGAATGCCTAATTTATTAGGTCAAGAAGCGGTTAATCAAAGTCTTACTTCAAATCTCTTCACTTCAAGTTATGACAGCGACCAACGACGAATGATATCAAATATTACTGATAACGCCTACAGTTTCACAGTGCCTCCCGAAAGGAATTACAAGAAAGCACCATCTGGAGCGGTAATATACTAGAAGACCCGACGAGTGTAAATAATTTAACAGGTAACTATGAAGCAACAGTGCCAACAAATGCAGGGCTGATGAACTTAATTCCAACTCACTATTTGTAGTAAGCACCGAGTTAAGCGACTTTTATTATTCGGCACCTGATGGCTACAGTAACAGTAAAATAACAAAATGAATATGATGTTTAATGTCGCAGGCATAACTGCTTCATCATCGAAACCTTTAGTGAATGATTGGATTGATGTTTCAAACAGGTCATTAAAACGCTTAAGATTCAGAGTTACCGACGCGCGAGGTAAAACTATTAATCTTCACAACGCCCCTGTTTAATTTACATTGTTATTTGCGGATCTGTGATGATTTTTACTACGTCTTTGAGTGTCTATTTTTATTTGACTTATTTACAACAAGAAAAATGTAGAATAATATATTTGTATATGATCAGTGATGAAAACATTAAACCTGAAGTGGGCAACGGTAGTATAAATGAACAAGTAACCGAACAACCACCAGAGACCAAGATTGAAGCAACACCTGAAGAACCAATTGAAAATGAAGTTAAAAGACGAAGAAGTAGCAAAGGAACCAGAGTTCAAAAACAAAACGGATAGCATTAAAAAAAAGTAAATTGTAAAGACTGCGGGGCAAATCTTACACTGCAGACACTAAGATACAGTGATAAATGTAGTAGAATTGAAGATAAAGCAGTTAAACCAAAACCAAGAGCAAAGCCTAAAGCAATATCAATTTAACCACCGATTAGTAATGAAGTTATAACAAATGAAGAACCCGTATATATAAAACAAGTTAAACAACAAGTAAGGGCACCAGAACCACCACCAATTGTAAAAACACTGTAAGAAATTATTAATGATAATTTTATGTTGATACAACAACAACATATAAACCAGAGAAGAGAGAAACCCAATAATTTAGTTCAATGTATGTTTTCAGGTGGATTAAAAAAAGGCTGTAATAAGAAATCTAATATATTGTAAAAATGTTTTCTAGTAAGTATAACAAAAAGTTGAAAAGAACCAACATCCGGAAGATATGAAAGGATTTCAGATAAGCACCCCGACTAAACAATATAGTCCTTTTGAAATGAAGGATACACGATATTTACAACATTTAAGAGAAAATCAATATTAAGAGAAGCTTACGAGGGTAGTATTCTTAAAAGAAACGAACGAACTACTAGAAAGCTACAAACGAAAAAACTATCAGAATGACTCAGACCGTTTAATGAATGAGTTACACCACCCTCATCTACCACATTCAAGTATAGAGCATATGAAAAAGCGCATTGAAGAACTTAAAAAATCAACGTTTGCTCGGTTGCTTAATTATATTCGTTTAATCTGAATATAGCTATATACACTAATGGCAACTAAAATAGCAAAATTTGAAATAGTTAACCCTTATCAAAAACACGGGTGAAAACGAAAACCTACATTCAATGAAATTTTTGGACTACTAAGTGAATTCCAAAAACTATTAAGACCATTCCCAGACAGAACAGCTACACAATTTAGAAACTCACCACAAAGTAGTATCTTTGATGGAAGCGACCACGTTGAATGATTAAAGGGAACAGCAAAACAGAGTGTTTGACCGACAGATGAGAGAACTGATATTAAGAAGACAAGCACAAAGAAACGGAGGGACTTTTCATATAAATAGACATAATGACAGTTTTACATCTGAACAAAGCGTCTCGGACTCTGGAATGATGACACCATCGGATGTAAGTTCGTCACAAACAGATTATCACGCAGACGCACAAAGAGAATTGGAGCAACGAGCAAGGGGTTTAGCACAGAGACAACAAGAAGAAGGGCAAAGACACGGGGAAGCAGTTAATGGATTGAATGACACACTGACTAGAAATATGTTAGGATCGGGCTTGAACGATTTACGAGGAATGCCCGAAACAGAACCATGACAAGATGATGTACCAGAAGAAGAGTTAATACCAGCAGGAGACGACCAACTAACAACATATCCAAGGGGGTGGTGTTCAGTTTTGATAACTAAAATTATGTTAAACAACGATACTACGTTTGATGATTTGTTGTTTCAAGTGTTTTATGGAGACTTATTGACAGACGCAACC